CAGCCTAAGAAAAAGAGAAGGAATGGGAACTGCTGAATTAGACACAGTGAATTATTTCTTAATATTACTATTTGTGCAGTGTTTGCATTTAACGTGCTGGCCTTACACTGCTTGCCTTTTCCCAATTAAACAATTTGTTTCATGCCTTAAGTGCAGGAACTTGGCGGCGCTTCCCTTTGCTCCATGTGAGCTCCCTGGGCTGTGGGGATCCCTGCCAGCCCTATAGCCTCTCCCTCCTCAAAATGCACCAGCTGCACTCATTAAACATTATTTTTCCCCTTATGGAAATATCAGAAGCAAGAAAGCACCACTGCACCCTCAGCAATAGGAGCAGGAGCTCACTTGCTGTTTAATAAAACAGGGCATCGTTTTACACCTGGCTACTGCTTAAGCTCTGCATGACCTGGCACCCCTGCTGGCACTGTATTTTCCATCAAGACACCTGAAATAACCCACACAGACAAGCCAGGACAGAATTAGTGTTGTTTTTACTTCGGTATTTAGGCATCTCATTATTGCAATCTTCAAACGTAGTTCAATAAATACAAAATTAACAAAAATGTCAATAGATCTTTATTTCCTTCTATTATTTTTATTATTATTCCAAACCAACAGTGATTCCCTGGAGATGTCTGACTATAGCTCAAACATTGAATGCACACAGTGTTCCCTTATGATCTTATATTACATTTGTTTCAAGCTTATAAAAATATATATTGACTTCTCAAGTATGTATTTACAGTATATAACATGTGGTTAATGACTATCAAAAAGCAGCTGGAGGTGAACCAACGTGATCTGGACTGACTCTGCCTCAACTCCTGGCTGCAGGAAACTGCCCCAGAGAGGAGCACTGCTGGGAGCTGCCCTTCTGCCCAGGGGGAATGCATGGCTCATTGCAGGAGGGGAGGATTTGCAGAGAGGAATTTCTCCACGATGTGCAGAGAACTCCCAAGGAGAGGCTGTGCTGTGCCTCTTCTCCCTGGCCAAGAGGAACATCTAGTGGAGACATCCTCCTTAGGAATACAGAGAACAGCACAGCAAGAGGAGGCTGCGTGAGAACAGAGCGTGCTGGGAACAAGGAAGGGAACCAGATCCCAGAGGCATGTGGTGCTGATGCTGCTCAGGGTGGGATGGGGGTCTGCGGACACCGACCTTGGTGAACTCCTGCATGACTTCAGCAGAAACCTAAAGATACCAACCCAAAACACCCATCAGCTCAGGCAGGTCACCTCGTGCTGCTTCCTCACCCTTCTCCAACCCAGTCACCAGGTGCCAATGGTGCAGGTGGGCTGAGCTCTGCCCCGTGCCCTCCTGAGCACCAGCACAATGCGTTTGGGGAGCTCTGCCCACATTGCATGGATGGGCTGAGAGCATCTCCTCTTGAGGTGTTTCCCTTGGCTGAGCAGCTGCACAACAGTACTGCTAATTAATTTAATTATAAGGCATTGAATACTTCCCCAAAGAGGAGGTTTAGAGGGCATAAGTTAATTTTGAAATCGTAGCAAGAATTTATAACTTAATCTGCTCAACTGATTATCTTCAGGGCCGAGAGAGCTCAGCTACAGGTGTGTTCTGATGCCACTTGTGAGCCATGAAGCATGGACCAGGATGGCAAGCACTCCTTGCTCCTGCCCTGGTCACAGAATGATGCTGTCAAGGAGAAACAGCTGTGAAACACCACATCCCTCAACCACAGGAAGTCAGGAAAGTAATTAAACACGGAATTTCTTTTGGGAACAGATAGAGAATGCAGTACAGGAGCCTCATTCTGCAGGGGAAACGCTCAAGAAGTGACTGAAAAATGGTCTCATTTTTAATTGAAGTACTCCAGCACAAAGCCAGCATGCAAGTGCTCAGCCATGTGGATCAAGAGGCTTTGTGAACTCACTGATGGGGAAGGATGAGAACAAGGACTGCCCCTTCTTCCTCACCCCAACATCCCCCTCTGCCTCTGTAGGGAATGCAATCATTCCCTGCACTGGAGCTCGCCAGGTCTGTTGCTTTTGTCAGCACTGCTTTTGGTTGTAGGTTCTTAAATGATAAAACCCGGGAGCATTCCCAAGGAATAACATTTAATCTGTCAGAAAGGAAACTCCACTCTCTCATCCACTTTTTGCCAAGAATTCATTGCTCTCAGGCACTGCTGTGCAGCTCTGCACGCATCCCTACACCTGACCTCACTCACCAGGCATACAGGGATCTGCACTGTCCCCTCACAGTCATGGGGACACTTGTGCAGGAGCACCCAGCACCTCCCAGCTGCTCCAAGGTGCTGCCATCAGAGATGAGCACTCATGGACTGGACTCCACACACAGCTGTGGGCAGAGGCTTCAGCCTCCTCAGCCTCTTCAGCAGCTCCTCAGCCTCCCCCAGTGGGTCAGATGGGTGTTAGAGAGATTGGGGCACCTCCCCAGTGATTTCCCCAGTTGCTGATTGCTGTTCTTATTGCCATAATTTCATTCCTTTTTGCTAGCTTCACTTCCTCGCCATTGCACTTGTGATGCTCAGAGCCCTCAGCACCTTCATAGAATCATACAATCATTCAGGGTCAAAAAGACCACTAGGATGATCCCAACCTTCCTGCACACTGCAGACCCAGAGAAGGCCTTCTGCATGCTCAAGGCCAGCAGTTTCCCAGACCAGGGTGCCCACCACGGCACCACATCACCCTGCACCCAGCCCATCCTACAGCCGCCTCCATGCAAGAGGGACAGGAGTGGGATCAGAAATCACGTTGGTTCAGCTCCCTGCCCAGAGAGCTCTTAATATACTTTCTCTATAGATAAAATGTAAACATAACGAGCATACAAATTGCACTTGATCCTTGGGATCTGGCATTTCTACCAAATGAAGGTTTCAGTTCATAATTATTACTCTTTTGGGTGTGATATGTCTGGATGCTGGCAACGGACCCAATAACTGCAAAACCTAAAGGCAAATTAATTCTGTAAACAAACAAACAAACAAAAAATGACCTCATGGCATTAGGGAACGATGTCCAAACTGCAGGAGAAGAGCACCGAGAGCTGGTGGCAGCTCACTGCAGCTCTGCCTTCAAATGGCAAGATGAGGCAGAAAAAAAATATACTTAGCCAGCACCTTCTTGACTCCGCTTGTTGGAGTTCAGCCAAAGAGCTCTGATCTCCAATGCAATCACATTGAAATAGCTGAACAAAGTTAAATGTAGTCCTGAGCACTCACAGCCCTGGTCTAAGAAGCCAAGCCAGAGGGCTCTGAGGGCACAGCACTGTGCTGGTTTGAAGGAACCCATCAGGAACGGGGCTTTGCTGGATCCTTAAAGCAACTGTGAAGGCTGTGGGGCCAGGACAGATGTGACCTCATTCTGGGCAGGTGGGTGCCATGCCAGTCCTGCAAGCAAGCTGTGTCAGTGCCCTGCAGCTCATTGCCTTTTAGTGTCCCCTTTTGTGTCCCCTCGGCACAGGTTAGCTGCAGAAGATCTGAATCCTACGCATACAGATTTTCAACTGCACTGAACACCTTCCACAGCACTCATTCCTTTTGTAAATCTTTGTCTTTCATCATTAATAATTCACTCGCAATACATACAGATGATAATAAAAGGCCTACAAAGCTCTGTACGAGGCTACAAAGACCCATTTAATTAACTAACTTCAAAGAATTGTTAAGCAGATGCTATTTATGCCTTCTGTCACAGATTGGGCCTGTAGCAGAAACGCCAGCGCACGAGGCACGCTGTGCAGGGCTGCTAGAAAACAAAGTGCTGTGTGCCCACCTGGCGCCCAGCAGCACCCCTGGCTCCATCCCTCAGCCACACAGCAATGCTCTGTTTCTATCTGCAGGATGGGTACCACATCCAGCTGTGCCCCCCGCCGCCCCCCTCCCCTTTCCCAGTGGTTATTTCTATACCAGTCCCCTAAGCTATGGTGCAGTGTTGGGATTGCAGAGCAAATGCAGCTGCTGGCAGACCTCACGGGGTCTGTGTTAGTGCTGGGGGTAACCAGACACCTCCACTTTTTCAGGACTCCTAAAGATGTCTCCTACCTGCAAGGAGCAGCTTGCCACACCTCGCTCCCACTGCCTTCCTGGATCTCTTGGTGCCATCACGCTCCCCCACTGCCAGCGAGGATACAGGATGCCTGCAAGACTTTGCAGGGCAAGAAGCAGGGAAAAGGGGCTAAAGGAGCAGCGGCTGCTTTAGCATCAGCCCTTCAAGGGCAGCAGGTTCCTGCTCACTGCTGCTGCTCTGTAACTCCATCCCACTTGGTGGGCTCACGCAGGGAAATGATGGACCAGGACCTGCACAAAAGGCTGAACGTGGGGCAACCCAAGGCTTCTCTACTTGCCCTCTCTTGGCTGTGGCTATCTTTACCAAAGCCTTCCATTCCCTCCTCTGAAACTGTCTTGTCAAAAGCATCTTCCAAACATTCAGCACTGCACTTCGGCAGCGAACATTTGTCTCTTGTTCACTGACAATGGTGTCAGAATTCAGCAAGGTGACTCTGAGCGGAAGGGACATGGCTGGGACAGAGCTTCCTTCCAGCGTGCCAGATGGGCAAAGTCACCTTCCTGAAGCTGGGTGTGAGCCTCTAAAAATAAAAGCAATAAAAGCTCCTGGTGGGGTTGGTAGAAGATGTCAGCCTGTATAAAAATACCCATGGATTTCACCAGTAGGATGCTAGATAGGAAAATGCTGTCAGCTCTGGATGAAGACAGCACAGAAATGTTCATCCACCCTGTTAATCTAGTTACCATGTGAAATGGTGTCATTACAGTTTGACTCATCTTACAGAGCAGCAATGGGGAGAACCATAGCCACCCAAGTACACTGTACCTGGTGCCTGGGAACACAGCTTCCCCAGCACAGGGGATGGCATGCCCTGCCCTCTTATGACTTGGAACGACACATCTGGCAGCAGCCCACCAGATCCCACATCCCACCCAAAACTGCAAGGCTTCCGAATTTGGTCCAACATGGGCCAGCACCTCCTTCTGCTCCATTGGTCTGTGCTCCACGTCACACCTGCACGCCCCTGCCATGCATCTGGATCACCTGGGCCCGCAGGGTCTGGATGCCACTCAGGATGGTCTTCTGGTGCTCTGCCTGAGTGATCCCCAGGCTCAGGACGTCTCTGCAAAATACACCCCATGATCAGGGGAACAATCCTAATCTCAGCCTCCCGTGCTGGCTGCTCTCCATCAATTAGCAGTATGAATTTCAGGCCGTTGGGCAGTAAGAAAGTCCCCAGTGCATTGTCCCAGCTGAACAATACCGACCTTGGTAATGAGCTTGGGGGTGACACAAGCCCACAGCACACAGCAGTTCCCAACACAGCTCCTGGACATGGAGGCCCCATGCTGCCCACAGTACCGCCTGTCAGCAAATCTCTGACCCCATTCTGTGTCTGGGCCAGGTAACATGTTACTGCTGCTAGAAATTATGGGTTAAAATTCCAAACCACAGCTCCAAAACGCAGCAGCTGAACTGCACAGCACAAGCAACCAAAGCCAGGCCAGCGAGCTTTCAGCAGACACATTTGGGAAGATCTGCCTCCTCCATTCGCCACAAGAGGCTGTAATTTAGAAACCTTACAAATTTCTGCTTAAACTGAACCCAGCAACACCAGGCTGCAGCCTAACGCTCTCACTTACTGCGCTGTCATCCTGGCCACGGACTCCAGGTAGCAGCAGCCTGCAGCAGTGAAGTTATCTCGGTACCTGCCCATCCCTATGGCTTCCAGCCACTCTCCCACAGAGCTGAACGCTGGGAAAGCCACGAAGGAGCGCTCGGTGAGGGGCACAGTGCTGCGGGACCTGCGGGCAGAAGGGAGGTGAGGGGCAAAGTAGGGACTTATGGCAGGGTCCCAGCCCCACGGGGACAGGCAGGCACCTGGTGCATGGAGGCGGCTCTGGGCTCTGCAGCATCTTGCTGAGGATGTCGTGGATGTGGGAGAATTTGGGGCGCTGGCTGCGCTCCTTCTGCCAGCAGTCCAGCATCAGCTGGTGCAACGGTGGCTGGCAGTGTGCTGGGGCAGGCAGGCGGAAGCCATCCTCCACTGCCTTCATCACCTGCACAGAAAGGCAGAGAGGTGAGGGGGATGGTGAATACAGATTGCATCAAATATGGTGAGCCATACAACGATATCAGGCACGCAGCTGGGGCACTCACATCGTGGTGGGACATGTCCCAGTAGGGTCTCTCTCCATAGGACATCACCTCCCACATGACGATGCCGAAACTCCACACATCGCTGGCTGGGCTGAAGTGGTGGTACTGGATGGCTTCAGGGGCTGACCACAGCACCAGGCTCTTCCCACGCTGCCAGGCAGAAAAAGGGCAGAAATGGAGTTGTCACATAGCACAGAGAGTGACACAGTGATGCCCGTGGCCATCTCATGCATCTTCTCCCCCTGCATACCACGTGCAGCTCTGACAACTCGTGCCTCCATTTATTTTAAAATGGTCATGCAATGGTATGCTGCATGGGAAGGCGAGTCCTGAAATATTAATGGCAGGGAGAATGGCTCTGGGAAAAGCTGATGGCATTTTATACATTAATATTTAACGAAAGCCATCTCAGAGCTGCACAAACACACAGCTCCTCCACCCCGGCTGCTCTCCTGTAATTAGCAGCCCTGTCCTCCACCTCTGCAGAACCCTCTGGATGCACCGGGGGAAGCAGGTGACAGACACTGCAGCTAATTGTAATTAACAGCAGAGAGACCTCAACCCCTAAGCTACCAGCTGGGCTCCTCGTGCCACGGAAAGGTTTCTCCCAAACTCTGTGAGTTGCTCAGAGCTCGGTCCCATTTCACCACACTCTCTCTAGGATGGGGATGCTTTCCCCAAGGTCTCCTTGGAGCCCATGATAAAGGCTGAAAAAATATTCTCAGAGATTTTTGCTGCTATCTGCCAGCTTAGAGATGGCAGCAAAGTGCAGCTCCTGACAGATCATGGGCTGAACCCCACACCCAGACCTTTCTCTCCCTGGCACAGCAGTGCCCAGCACTGGGGCACAGCTCCAGGTACCTGCAGCCAGCACACCTCCTTGGCACTGCCTGCATGCTCCCTGTAAACAATAAGGGCTCAGCTAAGTGCACACAATCAGGGCTTTTTAAAACCTCTGTGCCCAGTTAATGCAATGCACTAACAGGTTCAGCTGCGACAGGGTGAGCTGACGAGGTGCAAGCAAGCACCAAACAAGCAGGACTTACGTTCTTAACTGAAAACTATGAACCTCATTATGAATGACAAACTAGAGCTAATGATGCCCAAGGCTGCTCGCCATGCAGAGGGGCAGATCCCCAGCCCAACACATTGCATGTCCAAATCCCATTCCAAAAGGCACCTTACCATGGTGGAGAAGATGGTCTCCATCTTATCTTCCTGCGGCCGTCTGAATCCGGTGATTTTGCAAGCCAGGCTGCTGTTCACCAGGACTTTGTGGGCAGCCAGGCTTTTGTGTATGTAACCCATCTCTGCCAGGTATTTCATGCCAGCAGCGATCCCCAGCAACATGCTGAGGAGCTGGCTGGCCGTGAGCTGGCCCTCGTGTTTCTGCAAATAAAACCAAAAAGAAGGAAAGAAAGAAAAGAGGAGGAGGAAAAGCTGGAGCTGAGCGATGCCTGCTGAAGCCTGAGCAGGTGATGGAGCCCAGCAGCCAGCACACAGCACTCACCCTGAGGAAAGAGTCCAGCACTCCGTTCCCCATGTACTCCATCACTATCATCATGGTGCTCCCTGCATGGACAGACAAGGAGCACTGCATGAATGCTACTGAAGGGGGAATGGAAGCACCGAGCACAACTCCCTGTCCTCAAACCTCCCCACCTGCAAATACAGGTTGTTTGATAGATTTTCCACGTGGGATTTTTGGTCACAAACTCCACCGGTGAGGCGACGTATGTGACCAACAGGGATGGGTGAGGGAGGCTTGCTGATGGAAAGCAGCAGCGCTTTGGCACTGCTGAGCACATGCACTAAGAATTGTGAAGCACTGCTGAGGGAGGACCTCATGTTGGAAGGTGCTTCCCAGCAAAGATGTGATTTTCTTGTTCTGAATGATCAAAACCTAGAGATGCACAGAACTCTGGCACAGTGCTGGGCTTCCTGCACCCCAACAGTGTGGCCACACAATGAGTTCTGCCAGCATTAATGAAGCTCAACAAAGGGAAGATCTGGCTAAAAGGGATGGAAATACAATTGGCAAGAGGAAATCAGGTGAAGAGCTTGTCCTCATTTCTCCAGCTGTCCTGGAAAGCCTGTTACAAAGTCAAGCACTTTCTTCAGAGGTCGTGATATGGGCACAGACTCACATAACATGGACTTATCCAAGAGCAGGACAAGATGCTCCTGGGGAGTCTGTGTCTCTTGACACAAAGAAATCATTTCAAATAAACACATTACTTACAGAATTACACAAAAGCAGCCAGACTCAGGGCAGAGATACTTCCTTGTGTCCTGAAGGGCTGCTTCAAGTCACCACACGTGCTCACATGCCTTTGGATTTACACCAATACCCACTTATCACAGAGCAGCTCACTGCACACTCCCATGAGGGCTGGGAGCAGTTGGCCTCATCTGTTTCACCGACACCACCTCCCTCTAATTTGCTTTTATTAAAAGCACACTGTTGTACTGCTAAGCCGGTCCTACTCCTTGGATTTATTAATCTAGCTGTAAGCACTTTATTAATCATCAGAATGCTAAAATAGCTAACACTTGATTTTCAGAGAACAACAGCATTGCGCTCACAGCACCACGGCATCTCCAAAGCATCAGCTTGAGCACACTGCCCAAAATCTGCAGTGCATCACCAACATCAGCATCCTTGCACTTTGTCAGAGGGCAATCAGGCTGCCATTGCCCCCTGACACCACAGTGCTGCTGTGAAAGGTTCCAGCACTCCTTTCTGTGCTTCTCCAGCAGCACGAGGCATTTCTTGAGTACAAAGTACCTGGCTCCATCATTTCCATGCTGATGGAGTTCCAGAGACCATTGGCATTGTGCTGTGCAGGGCACTGTGGGTCAGCAGCACGGCTGCCACCATGCATAGACACTCCTACATGGGAACATTGTCAGGAAAAAGGAAAGAAAGGTGCAGAAATGCCTTGCATGGTAAAACTACAGACTGGTTTGCACACTGTGCCTTCATCAGGCAGTGCTGACATTGTGCCTCCTGCAATGTTGGATCAGCCATGAAAGAAGGGCGCTGCACACAGGGTGACTGCATGGCCCCTGAACCCTGCAGGCTGCTGGAGGAGCCACAAGCACAGCATGCAGGCAGGGCAGAGCATCCACGCTCTGCAACCTCACTCTCCAAAGTGAGGAAGGAGCAAACTGGGATTTGGGGGCTGAAAACGAGAGGACAGATGGTAAAGCCACCTTAGGTTGAACATACTGAAAAAAAGTTTACGTATATATACACACACACATGCATAACAGTTGAAATGAAAACGCCATCCTACACAGAAATCCCTTGCAAACGCACTGCAACAGCCAGCACTCGCCAGCAGATACAAACAGGGTGACAACGCAGCACAGAGGTGGGTTTTGCTCAGTCCCTCCGTGAAGCACAAAGCCCACCACTGCCCCACGCAGCCCCTTTACCTCTGGTGATGACTCCCTCCAGCCGGATGACGTTGGTGTGGTCGAACTGACCCATGGTGCACGCCTTGGCCAGGAAGCAGCGCTGCTGCTTGGCAGAACAGCCAGCCCGCAGTGTCTGGATGGCCACTGGCAGCTCCCGTTTGCTGGGCAGCTTCAGGCAGCCCCGGCAGATCTCTCCAAACTCTCCTGTATGGCACAAAGAGGGTAAGCAGGATCCCCACTGGGACATCCCTACGTTCCCAGAGGGCCCCTTGCTGTAGCTCGCACATCGCTTGCACCAAACCTTTGTTATTTGCAGACCTGTGCAAGGGTGATGCTGTCACAGCGTGCTCTAAGGACAATTTACAGCACCCACTGCAAAGCAGAGGGCAGCAGTCCTGAAGGATTTCCCTGTAGGAGTTACCTCCTTTGTTTTGGGAACACACAGTGCAGTTCTCCAGCACAAGCCAGGAGCCTCACAAGACAGACCTTCCCATCATTAACCAGAGGATTTGCCAGACCTTAGCCATGCACAGAGCACTGCCTGGATGCAGTTTTCCCCCTGCCGTCCTCTGTGCTGCCTTCCCTGACCCCACACAAGTTCTGCATCAGCATGTGAGACTAAAAAACACAAACACAATGTCTCTTCTTTCTCAGACTCCAAGCTCCATGCTCACAACGCTCTGCTCAAGGGCATATTGGACACTTCTCCATGAGAAGATCAATCCCAGCCACCACACTCACACTCTCTGGCTCCAGCCCCTTCTGCATCCAACCATAGCTCTGCTTTGTGCAGCAAAAAAAGCACAGCAGGACCTGGAGCATCCAAGCAGCACCTGGGGTTGAGCAACCCGCTCCTCACAGCCACGTGCTCAGAAACAGGAGCTACCCAACTCATAGCAAAAGGCTTTACAGCAAAAAAAAAAAAAAAAAAAAAAAAAAAGAGTAGATCTGAAAAGCTTTATCGATCTGAAAGCCAGGTGCTTGTTAGGTCAGCAGCGAGACTAATGCACTCTTAAATTCTTTATATTTAAACATCTCCCCAACTAATTTCTTTCTTGATCTTCTCAAACACCGATCTGTTTCTGGAAGCGATGTGGGACTGCGGGCCCAGCAGCACCCAGATGACTTCTGCTGCTCCTTCCATCACTGCCCTCAGAGCTGGAGGGCAACCCCCACCCCCAAATCTTCTTACTCTGCAGCTGAATTTATCTTTAGGGGAAAAAAAGAAAAAAAAAAATGACAAAGAATAATCGTGTTTCCCGTGTTCTGGTGCACATTAGCAGTTAAAGCTCTAGGGCCCAGCGTGGGGATTTTAATTTGCTTTTAAGTTTTAGGCACCGACGGTGATGAAAATCAATAAATCATTAAGTTCACATATTTATAAATAGCTCTTGTGCTGCTGTCATCCTGCCCAGATGCAGATCACTGCTGATGGCTCTGGTGCACGCCTCACTCTGCTGGCTGTACGTAGTGCCACAAAACAAAGCAGAAGGTGAAATCCAGCTGCAGGAAAACACACCAACCCCATGCCCAGAGCTGTGGGAAGGGATGATGGTGATGGAGGGTGAGGAGCTGCCCAGGACAGCATTGGCAGGCAGTGGCCAAGCAGGGGATGATGCACAGGGACACAGTGTTAGAGGCCATGGGGGAAACCTGCCTGTCCCGATGATCCTCTCGATTTTAATACTGGCATTATCCAGCTCTTTGGCAAAGAGGTGCACAGCCTGCATGGGATCTTCGCAAGTGTCCGGGTCAATGTAAGTCCTCCTGGTCGGTATTTTAACTGCAGCAAAGGAGGGAAATACACAGAGCTAACAAGAGCGACGCCGTGCTCCCCAGGCTCTGCTCTGCACAGAAACCCCCCATGGGCAGCATAAAGATCAGGAGAGAGAAGTCCCAGTGCATCCCAACAGCACGTGGGCACCTGAAATGCTCCAGGGAGCAGAAGAGCCCGTGTGTGCCGAGCAGGCATCGAAGAAATCCATTCCAACGTTGGAATTTCCTCATCTGTAAAATGACTGCTGCTCAGTCACCAGGAAGAGCCCCAGAAAACAGCGCTGCATTCTCCAACAGCCATTTAAGAAAAAAGCTGATGGAATAATCCATGTGACCCAAGGATTGCCAAGAGCATCCCCGCCCCCTGGGCACACCAATGCCCTGCTAGAGGATGGCAGCTGCTGAGCCCACTGCCCACAGAGAGCATCACTGTGCTCAGCCCTGCGCTGGGTAATGTGAGTGGGAACACTTAACATCAAAGGGTCAGGGCTGCGTGGTAGAGAGTTGGGTTATTAATAGCAATTAATTGCAGTAAATATGGGGACCCCACTGGCCATACTAACCATGCTGGCCAGACTGTACTTACAGTGGAAGTAAAGCTCCTCGTCTCCATCCTGGCTGGCTTTGCTGTACCCACACTGCCTGCAATGAGAATTAGGATACATGTCATTGCCTGGGGCAGCCTCCCATGGGGCACAAAAGTCAACAGAGCCCAGTGCCCATGCTTAGAGCCAGTGCTGCCCGGAGAGCTGTAGGTGCCCCATCCCTAGAGGTGCCCAAGGCCACGGATGGAGCCCTGAGCAGCCTAAGCTGGTGGGGGCAGCCAGCCCAAGGCAAGAAGGTTGGGACTGGATGACTTTAAGGTCCCTTCCAACCTAAGCCATTCTATGAGCCTGTTGCTCAAGGAACAGCTTTGGACAGCCACCAACCCACTCACCTCCTCCAGACCATCATGCCAACCACCATGGACACCAGCACCGTCAGCCCTGCGATGGCCACCACTATGATGATAAGGACAGGATTCTGCTCATTTGAGGCCACTGTCACTGCCAGGAGGGAAGCAGAGCCATCAGCATCATGCCTGGGGCACGTCCCATGTCCCACACCTCTCTGTGCCAGACTCTGTCCTCCAGTAAGGCTGGGGATGACCCGCCTGCAGTGCCAGGCTGCTTCTCCCCATCGTCCCAACAATTCACACTCTGGGTCAGGACACCACTTAATACTGAGCGAAGAATCCAGCTTAGTAAGAGGGAGGGGGAGAACAACAGTTTAAAATTGATGGCTATCCCACTGTTTTCCATTCATCCTTCCCCCTTCCTGCTTTTGCAAACAAGAGGGTATTAGAAAGCTACATTCTATATAAAATTTTCATTGGCTTCAATTCATTCCAAAAATGTCTTCTGTGTGGTAAATGGATGCAATTTAAAGCCCTGTTAAACACAATCTGTGCGAGTCGTAGTGAGCCAGCCATCTCAGGGCTTTCATTTCCAGCCAGGGTGGGTTATTAAACTGAAACCCTACCATCTCTCCAAGCCCACTTTTAGTCAGTGAAATAAGATGCTTCTGGACTATAGTTATGAATGGAAACTGTGAAAAGTAAAACCCAGCAAATAACACCGATGCTGGCTGACTCGATCCAGCCACAGGATGGAGAAGTGCCTGAGAGCCAGGGGGCAGCGCGTGGAGGCAGATGCCCCATGTGTTGGGCAGGCATCCAGGGCCAGAGCTGTCTCTGAACTGCTCCTGTCCCCTGAGACAGCTGCCCCTACAGATCATTGCCCCCACTGCCACGACACCATGCTCCCTTCTAGTGCTTGTTTGCAATTGTCTTGCAAACAGGACAATGCAATTAAAAATAAGCCTGGAACAGACTGCCCAGAGAAGCTGTGGCTGCTCCGTCCCTGGAGGTGTTCAAGGCCAGGTTGGATGGGGGCCTGGGCAGCCTGGTCTGGTATTAAATGTGGATGTTGGAGGCCCTGCATGCAGCAGGGGGTCGGAGCTTCATGATCCTCAAAAGTCCCTTCCAACTCAAGCCATTCTATGATTCTAAGTCCTGGGAAGAACCTGCTCTGAGATTCAGCCTTCACATGCAAGACTCACACTCAGCCAATGTCTCCACTTCAATGCTGGGGCTGTAGTTGCCGTAGTCCTGTGAGGAAGATGTCCGGATTTGGAAAATATAGAGGGTGCCAGGCTTCAGGTTATTGACTGTCACGGCTGTTGAGGTGGTTTTCACAGTTGAGTAACTTCGATCTCTTTGATCCTGTGAAATAAAGAGTTGCTTGAGGTCAAAAGGGACCAACGGCTGCACCACAGAGTCCCACTGTCACAGCCGTGCCCCCCCCTCCCATCAGCTCTCACCAGCACAACCCAGCAAACAGGCAGCCTTCACCAAAAAGGAAACTCTTACCTGATCTTTTGGATTGAAATTACACGGATAGGTCACATGAAATGGCAGCTAGAATCAGACAAGGCGCTATGAAGACAGGCAGAGGGCAGAGGTGTGGGGAGGACCCCAGCATGGCTCCTGGGGATTCTATCCACCTGCCCAACAACATGCAGATTCCTCTGTGTGACAAAGGGAGGTGGCATCAAGCACAGCACCCACGACTCAGCGTGCATTCAGGGCTGGGGATGGCACCACCAGAAGGATTTTCTGCTGGATGCACTCCTCGCCTTGCATCTCCATCACTGAAGTATGGTTTTAAAAGTGCAGATTAGGAACCAAGTTGATTTTCCTGTCAGCATCAAGAGCCTCATTCCAGCGAGTAATTGCTAAACTACAGTTTAAATTCTCCACCCAAGCAGGATGTCTCCTCGCTGCACGTACCCTGAGTATCTTGTTGCTGCAGCCCATTTGCAAAGGAATTACCGTATTACTCTCAGCATTCGCCCTCCCCCACAGATTCCTCCTTTCAAATCTATCAGATGCTGAAAATCACATTAATATGAATCAGCTTCAAGGTAGCTTGTTTCTAAATACAGAATGCCAACGTGTCACCTGCACAGTTTGCTTGACATGCAATCAGTTTCATAACGAGCCTGAGCACACGCAGATAAGGTAATTTGCGGAACTGTGTCATAAAATGCATTTATTTTGATTTAGAGCTTTGTCTCTGCTCTCTGCCCACTGGTATCTCTTCTAAAATTCTCATCCCGCTGTGTCTGTCAAATAACAGCTATTTTTTGAATTAAGAGGCTGTCATAGAAATGTTTGCTGGTGGGCTTTCCAGCGTGCAAGGCCACTCACGGCTTACTGAAGTCTGGGGCGTGTGGCACTTGACCCTAAACCAAAGACCACTGGTCCAAAACTTCCCAAAAGAGCAGGCAATGAACGTAGGTGTCACCTCTTCACAGCTCAGGAAGCACTACATGGTTTATAGTTCCTGTCTAGCTGGGTGATGGCAAGCACCCAAAGCTCAGATTTCTATTCTTGAAAAAAATCCATCCAAAGAATGAATGAATGCAAGTTATTGGCTTTACTCTTCTTCCCAGGGAGATGTCAACATTAGGACTGGAAGAAATCTAGCTGAACAGATGGGAACAAAAAAAAAAAAAACCACCAAAAAACCACCCTAATTAAAATAAACCCTCCGAACAACCCAAATTTCCAAAAACTTACATAAGCAGATTTCATAAGGCTGGTGGAGAGGAAAAGCTTTTACAAGCACCCACTGGAAGCGCTTCTGCCAGTCCCAGGTGCCAGTAAAACCCTCAGCATGCATTCACATCCCTTACTGTCCACCACTGAGCCACGGGGTGCTGAGGAACAGAGCCTCATGGGTGCTGGTTCCATCCCCAGAGCCATACCTTCTCGTAGTACTTGACCTCGTACTCGGTGCTGTTGGTTGGGAAGCCTGGCTCCTGCCACGACAAGGAGATGCTCTTCTGCTCGACTTTATCGGTGCGGATGTCAGTGACAGGAGTTGGCACTGGAAGGGCAGAGGGGAAAGCAGGGGGTGATGGCTGATGCAGAGCATCCCTCTAAGCCCCCAGCAGCCACCCCACAGCAGAGCCTGCCCGCCTGGGGACCCTGCCAGCAAGTCTGGGGCACTGCAGTTACCAACAGCCACATTAATAGCTAGGAGAGCATGAGTTAGAGGGGGTTTTACCACTGTCCTCACATTCGTGGTCACTTTGTTTCTGCTTTTGTCCTCTGATGCCAAAGTAAAAGCTTTTAATAATCTGAATGGCTGAAGAGCATTCATCTTGTGCAGTTTGTGGTTTCCTCTCTCTGAATCAGGACTGAAACAGGGCAAACTCCAAGCTGGTGATCATCCAAAATACAACTGCTTTGTGATCTGGTCAGCTAGCAAGGCTCTGTCCTAAAAGAAGCAAAAAGCCCTGATTGCACCCTCTGCCACAGTGCTGCAGGTGTCAGGTGCTCTGTGCCTGCTGCTAACGGTGTGTGGGAGCTGCAGGACACTTTGAGATCCCCAGCACTGCCCCACTCACAATCCCATCCCATCCCATCCCAACACTGGGAATCGGGCAGAGCTGCCCTCCCTGCCTGCTGCCAGCACTTGAGCTGTGCTCCAGAAGCTGCCTGGTTATTTCTGCTCAGCACACACTGCATGCTGCATCGTCCTCCTTGGCATTTCTGCCCCTGGTTCGCTCACCTCCCTGTGCAGGCAGCCCCTGCTTTCACCATGCCATATCCTGCCCAGAATAGCTGCAGCTCATCCCAATGCCCAGACTAGCAAACATACTGCAGGTTCTCCAGCAGCTCCAGCTGCATCACAGGAGCTCACCAAGGAAGCAATGCTCCCCCTGAGTCAGGAGCAGCACTGCTATGATGCTCAGCCCAAGGCAGCGCCCACCACTCACTGGGCAGCAGCAGGGAGGAGGTGGGAGATGCTATGACAGCAGTGGCTCTGGTGCTCTTTAAGACAGACAAGAAATGTTCTAGTAGGGAAAACATAATGTGAAAAATGCTTCTGCTGGATCTTCTCATCCTGGATTGATCAGAAAGCCCAACCTCCCCAGGCCAAGGATCACACCACAGCAAAGGGTCTGCAGCAATTAATCCAACACCTGCACACAGCAGCACAGGGAAAGCTGTGCAGGGAATTGGCTGCTCTCAGCCCGTGCTGCTTCTCCATCAAACCAGGACACGCACTGAGCCCTGACTGCTCCAGCAGGACTCCTGCAGAGAGGAACAAGTCCCTGGAAAGTAAACTTAAGTATCTGTGAAATTTTGTATTTATGACTTAGCTCATTAATCTCCACTGCAGAAGAACGTCCTGCTGATGTTTTATTCATGATGATTTGTTCCTTGATTCCAAGTCCTCTCAGCTTCTTCTGAGAGCACGAGGATGCAGAATACAGCTGGGCGCTCCGAGGGCATCAGGCTCAGCCCTTGCACACTGCTTACCCCCCACTGCCTAAATGTGGGTTGATATTTTAAGGAATAACCCTCTGTGTCCACACACACTGGCCCCAGAGCCGACCTTTAAGGGCATATCAAATTGTTCATGCATAAAGGAGGAGGAGCACAAAGCAAGACAAGAAGTTTGGCAGCAGCCCTGCCGGTGCATGCTCCCAAATCCAGCCTGGGCTTTGCTCCTGTAAAGGGAGCTAAGTGCCCCTTGCTGTGCTATATGATCCCCATCAATAAGATATCACACAGATGTCTGCCTGTATCTCTGAACCCAGCAAACAGACTGACAAAACATGAACAAGCTTCTCCTGACTGTTAACAGAGCCATCAGGAGAAATCATGCCCACCGAGTGCCTCACTGGAGAACAGCACACGTGGAACATGCCAGCAAAGTGAGCACCAGCCTTCACTATGCTTAAAAGGGATTAAAGAAAATCACACAGACTATAAAGCATTTCACACTGTGGGAAAAGAAAAAAAAAAAATAAAAAATAACACAGCTATGTTTCCCATCAATATTTTAAGCTTCCCTAATGTTGTCTCTATTCTGAAAAAGCAAACTTTAAATTATTCAGCGCTCTGCCTGGTTTTATAAACTCCACTCCATTGCATGTGGGTGTGCTCGTCTCCATTAACAGCACAAAGGTGCTGTGCCCTGAGCACCCCAGGTGTCTAAGCAGGCATCCAGAGGGGACGTGGATGCTCTGAGGACAGATGGACGATGGGTTTGCAGCCCATTGACTGATATTAGTATTAAGAAATGAGCTTGAATTCTTCAATTTAAGTGTCCATTCTGTACCCATTAATTACACAGTAATTCAGTATCGCTCCCTGCGAGCAGCAGATCGGGCTCAGGAGATGAGTGCTGCCAAACCTACAGCTGCAGCACGGGTGAAGGTGATGCCCAGAGTCAGAGACAGTGAGGAGAGATGGAGTCAGAGCACAGGAGTGGGAGATCTCCACCTGGGCAGAGCTCGAGGTGCACAGAGACACAGGGAGATGCTACAGCTGACAGAGAGCAGCTCTGCTCTGCTGCAAATCACTTTTCTTCTCCACCCCACGATGCAATCAGTCACCCCAGGGCCCTGATTAGTGCAATCAGCTGCTGTGATAGAGCCAAGACAAAGCCCAACCGACTGCAGGGTCACTCAGCAGAGCAGAAGCAGCAATTTGCACCTGTTAATTCCTGTGAACTGGAAGCACAAGCTGTAGATCCAGCATTTGAGGTGCCCGGGCAGTTGGAACAGCCTAAGCACAGGGCAAAGCACTGAGAGTCTCACAGAGCAGGGAGCTTCCAAAGCAGCCCATACTCAAACTGCTGCAAGGCTCCAATGCCACCACTGCAGGCAGCAAAGTGTGGGCAAGCCAAAGGAGCAGCAGCAATGTGCACACAGAGCAGCTGCTTCAAAGCACCTCATTCAGCAAAAAGCACTTCCCAGTCTCAGAGAGCAGAATGCATTCCGGCACTGGCTGCATTATTAATCTGCAACAGATTTAAAAGCCCTTTAAGACAGGAGCTGATCCCTGCCAGGAATACAAATGACATTGTCCCACGCTGTACATTTACATAGCTGATGTTGATCTGCTCCTGCAGGTAAACAGCTCCGTTCTCTCCTCAAACACTTTTGTTTAGTCCCATGCTGGGGCCAGATTAGAAAAAACACGGTATTAATTTTGCCTCCTGCCGACTAAACAGCATCTTCTCTTTTTCCTCACAAATACAATGAGCAACTGCTAATTCCCTCTTGTGAATGCTGAAGGGGAAGGGTAGCGTGAAAGATGCACTTAGAGCTATATTTAGAGGAGCTGGGATCTGACAGCTAAATAGGGTCTTGTTTCTTTGTTTAATTTTTCCTCTGAATCTGCATATCTCCAGCCAGAGCTTTCCTGATGCTGCCAAAGACATCCCCAAGACCATCATATCGCAGCCATGAAAGGAGCTGCCTCTGCTCCAGGCATCCCTGAGGCCTTCCTCTCTGCTTATCTCTGGCCCCGCTCAGCACTTTGGTGATGGATTTGAACAAAGGGGCCCCAGCACACGGGGAGCAGCTCCAGCCTGGGCAGGGACACCTTCAGAAGCAAAACACTCGAGGGTTTCAAGCAGTTTCCTAAACCTCAGCTGCTGAGCTAAATCTGTGCCACCATCTGCATCCGGAGGCTTGACAGCTCGACAAGAGACATTGATTTTGAGCAGATTACAAGATTAATTATGCCGTATTCTTTATGCATACTTCAATTCCTTCAGGAATACACAGCGTGGAGTAAGGGGGTGAGATTCCCACTTACCCAGATAAAAACTTGCATCGAACAGACTTAGAGATTCGGCACAGGCTGGCACCACGGACTTGTTGCCATGTTCACTTTGGAGCACGGGGACCTCCTGCCTCAGGCTCTGCCCCACCACCCACCTCTTCCCCACCACCCACATGGGAACCTCTGCAGCGACCTCTCATTATCAGCTATAATTAAGCTCCCACCCTCCCCAGCATACGCTCTGCTGGTTCAGGACTAACCTGAGCTTTGGGACGGCTCTTCCCAGCCCTAAATTCATCCCTGAACAGCCATGGCCCTAATGTGGAGTGACACCTCTGCTAAGGGCAGTCTGTGGCACAGCATCCATTGAGCGGATTCACAGAAATTGGGATAGGAGAGAGAGCAACAACACAGGCAAAACCATTTGATCAAGTGGTGGGAAAATTATTTATAACAAGATCAAAGTTTAATCCTTTCTGATGAAATTGTTGGCCAACTCCTGCCAAGAGGTATGTGAGGATCATCTGTCTCCATTAACCGTGGCTTGGCAAAGGGCTTTCATGCAAATTAATAACGTAGCCACAGAGGAGCAGACAAGGACACAACAAGGCAGTGCTGCACAGCCCCAGGACCATGACAGCATCTTCCCCTCATGCTAAGGCAACTCAAACCTAGAGCAGAGATGTTAGAATGGCTCCAGAGGGGACCATGAGGATGCTCAGAGGGTTGAGAGCTGTCGTGCCCCATCCCTGCAGGTGCCTCTAATGCTATAACGGGATGGTAATAGCAGGGTGGCAAAGTCTTTGACTATGGTAAACAAGAGCAAGGCCAAATGCAGCAGCTATGGGTGCAGAAATGAAAGAAAAGAGCTGCTTATCTTTGGAAGGCCTCAGGTAGGCAAGGATCTCCAGCAACAGATACCCCCACCTCCACTGCCAATCCTTAAGTGAGGTCTGGGAAGGGGTGGATCCTGGCTTCACCCCTTCAGTCACTCAGCTGCATTGCATGCACCTGAGCTCCCCTGGGCTGGCCCTGCCTTCTCACCAGGTGCTCCATCACTGTTTCAGGTTGTGACTTAGCATTTCCACTACAGTGTCCAAGGCCACAGATGGGACCCTGAGGGGGCAGCCAGCCCAGGGCAGCGCTTGGAACTAGACAGGCTTTAAGGTCCCTTCCAACACAAGCCATACTGTGAATGTATTCTATGATTCTATTATACGATCAAGTAGATAATTACAGTCAAAAATCTTGCTGTGGACCAGCACAGAGAAGAGATAAAATAATTTTGGTTTCCAAAGCATAACCAATATTCAAAGAGTCCTTTTATAAGTGGCACATCTCTTTGAATATGCTTTCCATGAGCTGCAAACCCAACCTACAGCTGCTCGAATGAGTTGTGACTCCCAGCCCAGCCCCAGCCACTCCCCAGAGTGCCTTTGGGATCAAGGAGAGCAGCAGGTGCCACAAACAAGCCAGGAACCCGCAGCACACGTCACATCCCCACCCCACCAGTACCTGCAAGCCCAGTGGAGACGTTGACCTCAGCGTAGGGCTGTCCTGCCAGCGGGCTGCCAGCCGAGACGCCATTGAGGGCCACCACGCGGATGGTGTAGTTGGCGTGGGGCAGCAGGTTGACCAGCGTAACGGTGCGCTCCACCAGTCCCGTCTGCTGCGGCACGAAGCCCACACCATTGCCACACTGCTCACAGCCACCCCTCGGCGCCGGGCAGTGGCTGCACCACAGGCTGTAGGTCAGGTCGCTGCGGCCGCCCGCGTCGGCAGGAGCGCTCCAACGCAGCACCAGCGAGGAACGCCGCAGGCTGTACACCAGGTCCCTTGGGGCAGATGGGGGGCCTAGGAGGAGAAGGGTAGCCATGTGCCTGAGGTTGCTCAGGGCTCCCATTGGTAGGGCTTGGGGACGCAGGTGATGACGGAACAAGGCCTGGGTTCAGGCAGCTGCCCCACGGCAGCTCACAGGATGGGAATGCAGGACATAGGACTGCACAGTGGGCTTCTCTTTGGAGGAGCCTCCCACTCGCATCCAGCCACAGCTCACACAAGGTGTGAGGAGCACCCACAGCACCTCTCCCTGCCATCCAACCCATGCCTGAGCTTCTCAATGCCAAGCAGGCACTTCTACCCCCATCCATCACAGAAGGAGCTGAGGTCCAATCCAATTAACTAGAGGCCAACTAATTAAAATCTGCAAACTACATTGAACAACTAACCGCCCTAGTTTTACCAGTGAGTGCCTGCATGTCTGACCACATGTGGGATGTATTGAACCCCACACCCCCATGGAACAAGGAGAGCCCATCGCCCTCCCCAGGCCCAGCCCTCCTTGGTGCTACAAAGCTGCTGTTTCAGTGAGACATACGTGTGCAGGAGGCAGACAGAGGGTCCGACGGGGACCTGGAGTAGTTCTTCTGGCAGGAGCAGAAGGTGGAGGCTTCTTCATGTGTGAAGCTGTGCTCAGGGCAAGGAGAGCAGAGAGGGAGGCGGAGGGAGAGCTTGTAAAATCCTGGAAGGCATGCTGGAAAGAGAAAAAGGGAGTTATTGAAAGAACAGCACAAACAGAACAGGGCCACAGCTGGTGACGGCACCATCCTGCTCCCTGGACTTCCTCTGCCTGTTGCTGGCCAGAGGACATCACCCTCCAAGCTCCTTGCTGGGATCCTGGCACCAAGGGAGATGTCCATTTGGTTTGACCCAGAATGGACATTTTGATGCTGTCACTTGGTGCTGGTTCCTCCAGGGCTGTGGGACCCTTTCAGTGGGCTGTGGAGGCACTGAAAGAATGATGGCTATTGGCAGGACATCAGCCAGAGTGATGCTGGAAGCTATAGAGGGATTTGGAGGAGGAGGTGGCTGCAGAAAAATATGGGATACAGAAAGCCCACAGTTTAGTTGTCAGTGCCAGGTGAGCAGAGCAAAAGGAAGTGGGAGTCACAGCAAGACTTAGCACCAACCCAAAAAGGGCAGATCAAGAAGCTGGAGAACTCATTGGCTACCAGAGCTACAAAGCTGTGCACGAGGCCACGTGCTGGCAGCTGTGGTGCCATCACTGCAGATTGACAGCAGTCACTGCAGCCACTGGGGTATGTACTGAAGTCAAACAGCAGCAGCAGCAATTTACTTTTACAGGCCATACACACAGGCTGCCTTTACCCTTTGGAAAGTGTCTTTGATATTCAAACAAGAAAGTGGTTCATCTGCTGGTCGAGGAATTGCTTGATCCTGACCACAGTCTGCACAGTGCACAACCTACCAACCCCAGCAGGACACCTAGGAGCTACTTCTGCATGAAAGACACATTACTTCACAAGAAACAACAACAAAAAAACAGGCTGTAAAACCCCACAGAGCAGTTCACAATAGCTTCACTTTAGCCCTAAAACAACATCTGAAAAAGCAGCAGCCTGCAAACAAATACATTCTGCTTGGCTTCATCTTCTTGATGTGGGGCTGCTGCCTGCTGCCCCTCCATCAGCTCCCTGAGCACGCAGCCTTGTGAAGTCCCCACACAAACAGCTCCCCAAGCACAGTCCCCTCTCTCATCATTTTTAAGGAGTTGGCTGCTGAGACTGTTCCTTTTAATGAAGATTATTCCACTGCACTCCAGTTCATTACTTTTTCTCATGACACAAAACTGGCAGCTCTGGCTGTGATCTGAGGACAAAGCACCAGGCATGGCACCGGGGCAGAGAAGACTTGCATGGGATGCTGAAAACGGGTGAATGTTTACAGGGGACATTATTTCACTGCCGTTAAATAAATCCATCTTGCTGTGATTGCATCTTGCTGTGGGTGGGATTGCTTTGTCCCAGCACACGGACAGCCAGCTGCAGGCAGAGCAGCAGCACGGGGAGATTTCTGCTTTCTCTTATGTCACAAAAGCAGCCTTTCAAGAGTCACCTGAAAGCTTTGCTCCTTTCCACACAAGGTCTCTGTCACACAGTGCAAGCAGACAGAAAGCAGAAGGTTTAGCCACCTCAAGCCCATTCCAGTTGTGCCCAAGCAAGGGGTTTCCTGGTATCTGGAATGAAAATCAGCATTTGCCAATCATAGAATGGCTTGGGTTGGAAGGGACCCCAAGGATCATTAAGTTCCAGCTCCCTGCCACAGGCAGAGCCACCAACCTCCAGATCTGATACTGGACCAGGCTGCCCATGGCCCCATCCATCCTAAACACCTCCTGGGGTGGAGAATCCACAGTCTCTCTGGGCAGGACTCAATGTTGCTTTTCTACACTAAAGATGAAAACCGGTAAAAATGGAGAATCAGAAATGAAAAGCCCTTAAAACCAGTGGGACTGGACAGTCTGCAGCTTTGCCTTTTCCTCTCCCAGTTCCCAGCACAGCTCCAGGACCAGATAACGCTGATCTTTCAAAGCACAGGCTTGGCACACAAACAGAGAAGCAGCAGAGAGGCAGTGTGCAACACACAGTAAATGCCTTCCCCTACTTCAGGCACTGGATAACACACACACAAAAATAAATAAATAGTGGGTGTTCAAACTACCTCCAAAACTTCCAGCCTCCCCTTTGTATTTGAGAAACCAAAGCAAGCCTACTGTTACACCAATACGTGTGGCAATGCATTCAGCTTGCATTTCCTTTTGTACTGCCCACAGCACAGGGCAGCAGGACTGCCATTGGCACGCAGAGCTTGCAGGCACATCCTGAGCTCCCAGGGGCTCCTCTCCTGCTCAGCCATCCCAGCCCAGAGCACGGCATGTCCTGCTCTGCAGGGAGCAGCTTCTCATTACAGCATCAAAGCTCCAACGCTGGCACCGGGTTCCTGCTCGTAGCCTCTGTCAGGCAGAACAGAAAAATCAATCTTGTTTACAAACTTGATGGGACTCGAGCAGTAAAACCAGGGAATATACTGCTGTCATCCCCCGGAGCTAAAGGCAAGCCCAGCAGTCACATAAATTTGACATCTCATGGTAGGAAATTGAGCGTTTTCAATTAGAAGCATCTTTCAGGCAGTTCCTCCCCGTCTCTAATAGCTAGGAGAAGGAAGTTGACAAAACAACATTTAGACATTGCCTAATCCTTCACTGAAATCACAGCCAATAACAGGAGTGCTGCAGCCTCCTGGCTTTCTGCACGTTGTTGTTTTTAACTCTGTTCCCTGGTTGTCCTATTCTGATGCTCCAGAAGGAGTGCAGAAGCACCCCACGACATCTGATGCATCACAGATGCATCTCAGTTTCTGAGACAAACTCCCCCTCTCTCCACCTCATCCCACAGGCGTTTTCCTTGGTCCCCAGTTAGTTTACAGGCAATTCTGTTACTTTGCAGTGCTCATTTTTGCAGAGGGTATGCGGCAGCTCTCCAGCAATCAGGCCATCCACTTACAGAATGAAACTCTCTGTTTGCTACACAATTGCCTCTCCGGTACCACCACAACTGAATTATTAAATAATGGAATCCAATAATCCCTCATCCTGGAGGAGGAGCAGCTGGGTGGGCCAGACAAATTCATCACCTCTCTGCGTTTCCATCACTGGTGCCCACGTGAGATGCTCCCCGTGCCCCCCATTCACTTCTCCAAGAGGGCACACTCCCTCCTTGTCACCACACTGCATTGCCAGCAGCAGAACCCCATGGGTTTCTCACACAGACACATCTGCTGCCACTGTTGGACATGAACAGGTGACTTCAGAGAGCAAAAAGCAGCATCCTCTCCCACACGCAGTCTTAGCCATAGGTAGATTGGAGCAATTAAGGATGCAGAGAGGCACGAAAAAGGCCTGGTTTCTGATTAAGCTATCACAGGACAGCTTTAATTCCCCCTCCCCAGCAGGATCCAGCTTGCAGCACCTCACTGCTGCCACTACTCCTCCTGCTGCAGCCCAGGCTCTGCCCCACACCCCCAGGGGCTGCAGAAGCCTCTCTGTCACCAGCACGGATCTCAGCATTCCACAGGCAGCAGCAAGCTGGGCATAGATGTTTCACCTTAAAAAATAGCAAGGGATCCCTGGCTGAAACCCTGATTTATCAGCTGTGGGGCATCAGCATCCAAGCAGCTTTATCTTGTTAACTGATGAGCAGTGATTAGAGGCAACTCGCTAAGTGCACCAAGCAGGACAACTGACTGCAGCTCTGCAGCTGATTGCATTTCTTTTCAAGTGAAGCACGGCCAGGATTTTGCATGCAGCAGTAAAATGAAGTTATTAATCACCCCAGCTCTATTTACCAGCTGGCCGGTAGCCTGGGTGATGTTGACATCCATCGCTGCAACAGCTGATTACCTCAAACAATTCACTTAACCTTTGTTTTCTTTTTGAAGCATGGGAACGTTGTCCACACTCAAGCAGGGAAGATGGGACAGGTGGGTTTGAACAGGCAAATCCAGGTAAGGAGATGTTCGCTGACACTGCCCCAGCCACTCAGCAGGGCCTGAGGAATCCAAAAATCCATTTCCTGCAGCTTATCGGTGCCTAATTAAACAGCGCTCATCATTTTGCAGAGAGGATGGGGCTGAGACCTGAGCAAACACCGAAGCTTAGCATAAAATATTGAGGGGATGAGCACAGATGGAAGATTAAATACGAGGTGGAAATTGCACTGTATCGCGGATTTAGGACTAAAGCTACTTAACCCACACAGCTTCCAGGTAGCATCAATACAGAAATCAGACAGAGCCCATCAAACACCTCCTGCCTGCCTCCACCACTGGGAAACACATGTGCACACGTGTGCCCGTGGCTTCGCCTCTCCAATCACACTGAGCTGTGCCAGACCACGAGGAAAGTTCCTTTGCAGTCCAGCAGCGTGTTTCTGCCCCCCACCTGAAAGCTTTTGATGAGTTCTACCTTTTGGTTTTCCTACCCAACTGTTTCACGCCAGCTTGCTGATTCACACACCTCACAGATCTCTGAGAACAAAGGGAAAACAGGGGGGACGTTGCATGCACGAGCACTGCTGAACTTATTCATGCTGCTGAATTCCTGCAGACGGCGGAAGAGCCGTGTGCTTGCCAGCAGGAATCAATAACGCCTGCAGATTCACCCAAAACGCCTATACAGTCATTTGTAATTAACACTACAACTCGGTTGTCTTCCAAAATCAATTCCTTTCCTTTTTTTTTTTTTTTTTCTTCCTTTTTTTTTTGGTCATGAAATTGTATTTGACAAAGTCCGCTCTCTTTTAATGCGCGTTAATTTTCTCTGCTGGAACTGCCAACCAGAGGGGCTGCGTGTGGATCACAGCACTGGGCTCCTCTGCGGCCCCCGTTCCCTGCAGACCTTCACCAGGATCCAAGCAGACATCATTTCCAGGAGCACCAGGAAGAAGCAGATCCGTCTCTGTGCCTAAAGCATATCAAGATGTGAAGGAGCCCTTCTGAGCACCGCGAGCCCCCAGCTCCCAGCACAGGTCATCGGCCCTGCCTGAACCACATCAGTCAGAAAGTGCTGCCTCACTTTCTGTTATCAGCAATGGGATATCTGTTATCAGCAATGTTATCAGCAATGGGATAAAACACAGAACTGCCCACACTGCTGTCTCCCACAGCAGCTACAGT